AGGCTGCTCGCTGGCCCGTAAAAGAGACTTCTGGCCTTTTATTTTTCTTTCTTTTTCATTATCCCCTCCTTAGCTAGGACCTCGGCGTTAATTTTCCGCAATAATTACGCGCCACGTCGCGGTAGGATCGATTCTTAATCGAAACGCATTTTGCCCCGGTATAAATAGAGCCCGTTTACGGCACCTTGTCCAACCACAACGTTGGGATATTGCGCAAATAGAGGAGATTGAGAGACGTCGGGTTTATTCGACGATCCCGAGTGTTTAGAGCGGGCCGATCCTCCTGAAATAATCTTCCTGTTCAATGATTAAAAAATGACGTCACGAGGGATATCGCAAGAAAGGGGAGAAAAAATGAAGGACGGGAGAGATCTTTGATCCTTCGATCAAGTCGCGCGATTTGACGAGTCTCCTCCTTTAAAACGACATAAAAAAATCCAAAGTAGGTTACGCGAATTTTTGGTCAGACCGTAGAAGATCGCGCCGATCGGGAAATCAGTAGTAGGAGTGCATTGCTGGTCAGCCCTCGCTTAAAAAATTTCTTAATCATAATTTAATAGGATAAACTGTTTATTTTTGGTATTCAACGTTTAATCGAAGGTTCGTCTCCACCCCGGTGAAATATTCACGGGAAGCCTGGTTTTCATTTCCGATTTTAGTTATTACTTATCAACCGATCAAAGACGCGTATTCAGCTGCGCAATGTTTTTTTCTTTTTTTTTTTAAATCGGCAAACGAATCACCTGACGAAGCAAACTCCATAAAAGTTAGTTATTACTTATCAACCGATCAAAGACGCGTATTCAGCTGCGCAATGTTTTTTCATTATTTTTTCTTTTTTTTTTAAATCGGCAAACGAATCACCTGACGAGACATGACTTTAACAGCAAACTCCATAAAAGTTAATTATTACTTATCAACCGATCAAAGACGCGTATTCAGCTGCGCAATGTTTTTTCATTATTTTTTTTTATTTTTTAAATCGGCAAACGAATCACCTGACGAGACATGACTTTAACAGCAAACTCCATAAAAGAAACATGCCCGTCACCTGCGACCCGTGCGATATGTTCGCACATCTCGGGAGTTACTTACCGCCCGAGGACGCGGTGCATGTAGATGGGGGGTGCACCTGTGCAGGTGCACAGGTCGCATAGGCTATCGCGTGCGGCTCGGGTAACGAGAGTAAGCCCGTGACCCCCCGAGTGGGTATGCAACTTGGGCCGAGTGTCTATTTAACTTTAATTTCCTCGATAACGCCGGCTGCACAGGCCGGGGCGATCGATCGACCGTTTTAACGCCTGCGGCACACGTCGGGGATATTCGGTAACTATTCCCGTAATTTATGCCCCCCTCGGACATTATACCGAACGCACTCTGCACTGCGTGGATCGTGCCTCTTGCACCTGGGGACGTTACGACGACGTATCGACACGTACCCCTCCACCGATCGGACGATTTAGGGAATGGTAACTCACTCCGAGTCGATTTCCACCCCCTCGTATAAAAGTACCACCGTAAACGGCGTTAAAGGGGAATCCACCCCCGAGGACGGATGTTTCAGATAAATCAAGGTCGCTCCACTTCCTTCCCAGAGACCTCCTGATGACTTTTATCCATGTTGCATCCGTAATAAAACTGGATCTTTAAAAAAGGCAATAATTACCCCTTGCACAATTTGGGGGTCGATTGGATGGATTTTGAAAGGATTTTTTTTCCCCTAGGCATGGGGCACTAATCTAATATCATTTTTAAATAGATTATAACGTGTGGTAAAAAATTTAATATGTAAGCTGAACCTCCTGCGGAATTTCTCAAGATCATAATGCAGTTCTATGAAATTATAAGCTTGTTAGGAAGTTTTTAATTAATGGGAATCGATCCAGTTTGCAATTTTACTGCAACCTTGTGTATTAAAATTGTTGATATTAACGACGTAGAGGGGCAACGAGGCCAGGGCGGGGGTGATTTTCGAGATTACTCTCCACTTATTTCTGATTCGATGGAAAGGGTTGATCAACGGCTGATGAAGGGCTATTGCGAAAAATGCGCCGATTTATGGGAAGTAGGAAGTGGGGACTCATATGACTCGAAGTGGGTTACCCGTAATACTGTTTTCCAAGTTGACGAGCACAAATCCGATAAACTGCTTGTAATTTTTCAACTCCATCCGCGGGCCAGCTGGTAACGGGGTTATGCAAAAGTTACGACTCCGGGAAGTTAGTTAACGCGTCGCCGGTCGCTGGCTAATTGATTTAGGCAACTTTTTCCCAAGTCGACGACGTCCCGTTGACGTTTACTTGGCCCTCGAAAATGGCCCCTGATTTTCTTACCCGGAAAAAATTCGGCATTGATTTATTTCTTAAAAAAACTCCACAGAAGAAATGCACCTGTTAAGTGGAGGCTCGTAAATTTCGGTGGAAATTTTCATTCAAGTAACTCTCGTTCACGTTTGTACGGAATTAACTGGATTTTCGACAGGTCCCCGTCTCTCTTAACTGCATAATTTTCGAATCGTTGCATGTGCACGCATCCTCGGGCAATTGCACTTTACGCGCGTACATCACTTGCAAGACCGTTCCGCGTCGAGCCGAAGAATTAAGGGAGTCGACGGCACGCGCCATTTCCAGCTGGAATAAATTCTCCCGGTGGACAATTTAATTCCCTTGCCCCGTGTAATTACTCGCGTATACGATCTACCAACATTGCCGTAATTACCGTTAAGGAGGGGACCTCTGATATATTTCTTCGCTCCCCTTTTAAAGACTTAATTAATACGTAGGCGCGGTCGTTGGCAGTCACGACACGATTTTTATACCCCTGGGGACACTTTTCATTCGACACGCTTTATCAGGGAATTGTTTGATCCAAATAGATCTTCCTTGCATGGGGAAAAATATTCGACAGGTCTCTCAGCATTGAAAATAATTTAAAAACATTTTTTACCCTCAACAATGAAAATTCTTTCGAATCACGAGAAAGCGTTTCAGAGTTTTGGGAATTCTTAATTAGTCGTGGATCGGATTTTGGCGATTTATTTGGCGATTTATGGATTGGGTGGGAGGGTCCTAAAGATGCCCCTGATTAATTAATCGGAGGAAAGGGCTCGGATGAAAATCCCGTCCTTAATTCCGGAGTAACCTCGTACTTTCATGTCGGCTTGCAATTGTGATCTCACCGCATGACAAATACTGCTGGCTGATTATTAACGGCCCGTTAAAGCCGCTAACTCGTGCCAGAGGAAGAAAAGAAGAAGAAACGAGAAGGAAAGATACGATGATTAATCACCGCGAGATCCCCAGGGAATTCGCTTAATTACTCATCTCCCGAAATTGAGTCGAAAGGTAGAAAAGAAAAATGGCAATTGCACTTCAGCCGACCTCGGGATCGGCGAATATTCCCTCTTAAAATGCGCCTTAACTTTATAACGGCGACCTTAACTTTTGGCCTAAGTAATTAGCTCGGCCGTTTCGTTACCGCTGCCTTATTTCACGGAAAAAAGTGTCCGGAAGGTCTTTCTTAATATCTCTTTAATCAAAGAGAAACTTTCTTTCTCCACTACGCAATTCCTAAATTTGTCGTCACGACTTGAAATGAGATTTATTAATTTCTTTTTTTTTTTTACGTACTTTCAATTCGCATTGTAGGTTTTCTTAAGCGTATTTCTTTTTTAAGGTGCAACGAAAAATATCTGCACGTTTTACTGATTTTTTTGTACGTTTTGTTCTCCGGGTATCCCGCACTATTTTCACATTTTCCTACCATCGCATCAATAGTTTAGTCGTAATTAGTGTCGCCTACGGTTTTTCTCGACATCGAGCATTGTCTTGGGAATCTCGTTCCCATATTTCCCTGACATCACAGGGGAAGATCGATTCGAAAGGAATGGGAAACAGAAGTTTCTTGCTCCCTACCTGAAGGGAGGAACTGGGACGCGAGAAGCACCGAGGATGGTGGGTAGACAGGCCATTACTTTAATTGTTAATCGCCGTTTTTTCTGTAACGGATGTCGTAAATCCTGACTCGTTGCTGCCCGAACTTTGCGAACTTTCCCCCGCCGTCAGTTTCTCTCCTGGGCTCATTACAATCTCCCTCGATTACTGAATAATTGACGTTTCAGAAGCAACATATCCGCGATATAAGCAACCCCTGTCCCTAGGTTCCTTCAGTCTCTTTCAACTAATTTTCCTTAGTAGACCATAACCATTAAAAGCTTACTAAGCAACTTTTACTAAACTATTCTTAAAAAAAAATTGTAGGAATCCTAAGAATCTTAAGAATTTCAGGAGTTAAAAAATTCTATAAATTTCATAAATTTGATTTCAAAAATAGAACAATACTTCTGAATTATTCTGAAATCGTCGAGATATAGCCCGAGAAAAAATGTTCATCGAACTAAAGAAACATTTCGTTAATTCAAAGAATAATCACCTGACTCAAACTCGAATAAATCGGATGCATGAAATCTTCGGAATTGCGATAATTTGTTTAAAAAAATCGTTGGTGTCAAATAATTATTCTTGGAATTAACGGAACATTTCCTTGGTATTGTATCAAGAAATATGAATTTTCGATGAATTTCTTTTTCTCGGTGCAGATAGATTAATCTGGGATATCGGACAGAGAGGGGTGAACCTTTAAGGGGGAACCCGTGGAGAAGCGTCGAGGAAAGCTCGTTTCCTGGAGCTCGTCGACCGAACACTCGACCGCTTCGACCCTCGACTGATGGTAACTTCCCGGAGGAGTCCTCCAGGATGGATTACAGCCTCGTTAACGAGGCCTGCGGATCGATGGGATCAATTAAACGGAGCACTCTCTCCTATCGGGCGCACCTGGTGCGCCTTCCTCGAGGACCGCGAGGTGCATCTCGAGGTGCATCTCGAGGTGCATCTCGAGGTGCATCTCGAGGTGCATCTCGAGGTGCTTCTCGAGAGGCCTCGAAAGAAAATGGGAGGAAGGGAGATGGTCGCCAATTCTCCTCTCTTCTGGTTCCAGATGGGCCATGGACCAGCCGGAGACGAGATGGAGGCTGGCATAGGTTTATGAGAGGACTGACATCGCGGAGGGATCAGATTCGACATCATGGACAAATTTGGCCCCGACTTCCCGAAACGGGAGTGGAGCCAAAGGCTCAGTCTAAGAGGCAGCAGGAGGAGTCACCAGGTGAGCTTTTCTCCTTCCTCGGGTCTCATTTTTGCTACCGATTTTTATTCAATGAAATTTCTTTTTTGCTACCAATTTTTATTCAATGAAATTTTTTTTTCCTACCAATTTTTATTCAATGAAATTTTTTTTTGCTACCAATTTTTATTCAATGAAATTTTTTTTTTGCTACCAATTTTTATTCAATGAAATTTTTTTTTTGCTACCGATTTTTATTCAATGAAATTTCTTTAACGCGTCATATGGAATTCATCATGAAAAGAAACGCCGTCGCTGAGACTTAAACAGATTAGCGTGCAGTACATGTACTTGGTGCGAAATTCTGCCGGTTTCCCTGATAAATTTAAATGATCTCTGTATATCGATCGATTCTTCAAATTTTTATATCCTATTTTAATTATTATAAGATTATGTTACAGTACATTTGTTCCCTATCGTGCTTCGTCCAAGCGATAACAACCTGAATTATATTCTGACGCTAAGAAGTTTCACCTCAATGGTGCTTAATAATTTTTTTTACTCTCTATCCCTCAACTCCTATTTTCCGTACGGAATCCTTGAGAACGTTGAAGACTCCCAGGGAGTCCTTTGATTTTCTGTTACCCATTTAAGGAGCTCCTTGGAATTTTTTCTTCCCTTTTAATGCGGATGATGAAGTTGCCAAAGGGCCCGACTTCCGAAGTAGCTCGAATCATTAGCGCGCTAATTATTATTTTTTTTTCTCCCAATGAAAAGAGACCTTAAGGTACTCCGACGTAATCTGAAATTATCCTTCCTTCTAATTAAACCGGACGTGACGTCAGAAGGGCTCGTTGCTGGGAAGGACGATTGGAAATTCGTCTCCGTTTATTTTTCATCAAGACCGACCAGACGAGCGGAAAAGCTTCTCTGCCGTTTTCGCGAAATGTTTTCCTCCGTATTTACTGCCGGCAAATTTACTCAGTTTGAAGGATAATCTCCCGAAAAAGAAATTACGGGAAATCCACTCCACGGTGAAACTTGTATTTCATTGTAGATCTTCGGAAATGAATTTTCCCAAGCTGCGATTTTCAGGGTTTTCGAAATTACTAGCGATCACTTGACCTTTCCCTCCATCTGGGAATATTATGTAAAATTCTAAGGAAAATTAATATCGGGTGGTAATTTTTTTCTTAGGCCAGGAAACATGAATTCTTCCCACATCAAAGCCAGGATCGAGGTTCAATATCGTCACATGCATTCACGGAGACAATTAAAGGGAAAATCGCGGAGCGCAATTGTCCCCTCAACCCAATTAAATTTTCATCTCATTCCTCGGTTATGGTCGCCGCGAATTGCGATGGTAATTCGATTGCGCCTTCTTTCCCGTCGATAAAAGCCATGGAATAACATCCTATTTCCCGATACACCCAGGAAAAAAAAAAAACATCCTAACTTCTTCCGAGAGAAAATGGTTCCTGGTCCTTTTAACTCGGGTTTTTCTTTTTGAGCGCACCGAGGAGGACGTGAAAAATTCTACCACTTTTGTCCCGTCCCGAGCAGACTTTTGCGGTATTTTTTCCCAACACTCTCTTGATCCTCCCCTTCGTGTTATGAATACTTATGCTCCCCAGTTTACGTGTTGAAATTTAATCGCAAATATGCAGTTGGCTCATGACAACGCGCGACACGGACGGCGAGAATTTCGCGATCCCGTGGCCACGCATGGACCCCTAAAAGTCAGAATTTAGTGGCGATAAAAGTGAAATATCGCCGGGAAAAATTATTACGACCGACCGCAGTCCACCTTCCCGTACGGCCGAATTTTATATTTCGTCTCTCCTCCTCGTGGATACTTTTCCCGAAATTGCTAATACATTTTCCCCCGGTTTTCTTTCTACATCTCCATCTCTCGTTACTTCCTCCCTTTCTGTCTGTCCGCACTTTCGGGAATTATTCATGACACCCTCCGAGTCGCCTTACAGTCGTTAACCCCGCAACTTCCCCCTGTCCTTCGACTCTTATTCCCCCTTCTCGGGAAATCACGGAAAAACTCGATCGATTCCACGATATACAGCAGGGTAAGTTAATTTACCGTGTCGGGAGAAAGGAGAGGAGTCTGCGGTTCGCGTTTGGAAGTTCAAGAGCTCTCGGGAGTAATTATTCCTCTTTCTCTTTGAGCTCTTCTCGCCTTCCTCGGTTTCGCTCCATTATCCCTCCGCGCGATTATTCCCTATCTTTCCTTTTTTATTCCTTTCTCGCGTTCGAAAATAATCCCGATAAACCTGAAATATATTCCGAGCTGCCTCTGTGTCCGGTACTATTTCTTTTTTAGTACTTTTTACAATTTTCTGTATTTTTTTTTTTTTTTTTTTTTTTTTCTTTTTTTAAATTTTTTTTTTTTTTTTTTTTTTTTTTTTTTTTTTAGTGAAACTTCCCAGGGCACAGTTTTCCATCCCGATTTTTTGTAATCGTTAATTTGCATTTATGCGTCAGTAATGTGAGAAAAATTAATCGGTACCAAATGCGCAAGGGCATTTTGTAAAAGGATGATCAAGAGTAGTTGATAATAATTAATAATCATTTTTTCTTTTATTTGGAGGCTCCATTTCCAGCGCGCGCGCGGCCATTTTATTTTGCTTAGATCCTCGATTTAATTCCTTCTAACGCCAGGATTAATTAATTCCGACTCGAGTTTCCTCATTTCCCGGGAAAATAGTTATCGAGGTCCACTTTCCAGGTCCATATACCACCGCCAGATCCAACTCGGCAAGTTCGCGGATCCGAGAACCCGCGAAACGGGCCGCAGGAATTTCCGAAAGTTTTTGAGTGCCTTCCAGAAAGGCCGGGATTTATTGCCGACCCTTGAGCGGAGATTCGGTAGGCCGGAATGCACTTTCAATTATATTTATACCCGGATTATGAGATTTATTATGAAGGCGTTTCGGGGGCGAATCCGCGTCCCGATGATTCCTTTACGCTGAGAAAAAAAAAACGAAATTCATTAAACCGAAGAGATTTCCTCGAATAGTACCTGAGAAATATTTTGTTAGTTCATAGAATAATTATTTCACTCAAAGTAACCCTTGTAAATTGTCATCATTCCGAAGCAGTCGGATCTCAAGGAATTTTCCGAATTTATTTGCATGAAATTGAATCTCAAGTGCACATTGAATGCACCTAACGAGCTCTTCGTGTACAGCTCAAATTTGAGACATGACATGTTCGCTGGTAATGCGTTCCAATGTGCCCTAAGTGCGCTGGTGTTGCACTTGCCGGTAGAAATTCCGCCGACCGTAGAATGTCACCTGAGGATCCGACGGTAATCTCGCGGGGGGGTGCTAAATTAAATTCGGAATTAATACCGGGAGAGATTGAAAGAATTGTTTCAATTCATAAAATAGACCTCGAAACACCTGAACAATGATCACTTATTTTCTTATGCTCTGTAGAAATTTATCGAGAATTAAATTGTTGAAAATTCCTGAATATCGATATTAGCTCATATTTCGTCGAAATTCATCGAGAAATAAATTATTGGAAATATCTGAATTAATGATTCACTCGTATTAGGCCGGAATTCATCAAGAAATAAATTGTCGGGAACACGTGGATGTCGATTTATATTCGATATTAATACCGATCTGTAGTTCGCCGAAATTTATTACCGGGTGGTATTACTTTTTTAACCCCGGCGTACCGCCTAGTGGTATTTAATTAAATATGGCTCCAGCTTTTGGATTTCGTCGGTCCTCTTTTTCCGAATATACTATCTCGTCTGGAGGACTCTTTTCAAGGAGCATCAGCGATGAACCCTTAATCTCCTTCCGTCACGAACTTAATGCATTCCCTTTCGCGCTTTTGCTTTCCACTTCCGCGACCCCAGCCCTGGATTATGACCCTTCTCTCTTTCTCCCAGCTCCTTCCGGTTTTTCCAGAAACCGAGGAAATAGTCAAACGCGGTAGATTCTCACCCTTTTCCCTCAGGAACCCCTCCGGAGCTCGACTCGGCAACCCTTTCACCCCCCAGGGTGCAAATATATTCCCGCATGAAAATCTAATCTCGGATCGCAGAGGGTCGAATCGTTTCTCGATTCCCTTCTAATTCCGTGAAAATTTCTAAGGAATTAATTTTCGGGAAAACTCCGTCGTATGGTTACAATAGTTATCCTAGTTATCGAGCCGTGCAGGCCCAGATGTCCCGATAAAATTGTTAGAAATTCATATATACCCGGATACACTTACAAGTGGAGGCGCCGAACGATTCGGTGAGGTATCGATCGCGATATCGGAAGTTTTCGGTGCTATCGATGACCCTTTTAGAATGAGTTCCCACACAGGTGCGTGGGTGTGCTTTATAAGGGAAATCGAAGAACCTTGCACGCACTGTATATATCATGTACAATACACAAGCATACATGTAAGTCAAGGTCGATAACAGCCATACATGATAGATGTTATCACGACAAAGCGACCATCGTGAACCAAAAATCGATCTGCAGCAGGAAAGTCCACTAATTTCCCGGTTTACTCGGCGTTCAATTAAACTGCAATTTGCTCGTCACGTTGTGCATCGATTTACCCCAGGACGACCCTTAAAAAACAAAATTTATGATTTTTCCAAATTACTACATGATATCGGGAAATCATAAATTGATAACAAGTGTGCATTGTTTCGATGTCAAAAGGTGAGATTTATTTTCAATGGAGCACGTTAAGGGTGTAATCGAACTTTGGATCGGATTTCCCTCGAATGGGGAAAAAACGTGGTGAGGAAAAAGAAGGGAAAAAAAAATGGCGGAAAGGGGGAAAAAGTTTTCCAGATTCGGGAGGATAGGTTTATTGGATACTAATAGATTCGCGGGCACTCCTCGGAATACCGATCACGGATTTCGAAAAAGTTCGGACAATTCGGCCTAACGAGGGTCCGCCGTTGACAACAGGCGCTGATAAGGGAAAATTCTTCCCTCCACCCCCGAGGTGTCGATTTTTCCGAACTCCGACTCTCCGCTTCCGGGTTTTCCGATTTTCTTCCATTTTTCGGGGGACGCTTTTTTTTTATCCACCCGTGGGAATCATCCGAATTATCGGCCTGCACTTTCGGCAGGAAATCCCGGCGAAACGTCCCCGCTTTCCACGGGGGGGGAAAAGCTCCGGGGTGAAACTACCCCTTCGAGCTGCAAGGACCTCGGAAGTCGTATTAAATTTCGATTTATTCCGGAAGAAAGCGAGGCGAGCTCGACTCTTTCATGTCCGACCCCTTTCAACGGGTCTCAGCGACGATTTCCCCTGCACCCTGAATGCACCCTCCTGCACCTTTCATTAACGGATTGATCGATGATTAGCGCGGCTCGATGCGTGCAACTCCCGCTTCCGATGCTCGACATTTATCGATTCGCCTCGATTTTCGCGACCTCCGACCTCGAGCTAATTCCCTGTTAAACGTTAACGTCGCAATCGGTACCCTTTCCACGAGAAAATTGAAGCCTAACCTAACCTAACCTAACCTAACCTAACCTAACCTAACCTAACCCTCGTTTCAATTAACGGATTATTTTTCCAGAAATTCCTCACGAGATTGACGCAATTACCTTCCCTTAATTCAGAGATTATCTTCTGAGCTATTTTATTTGCGAAGGTATATTCTGATTAATTGATATTAAATTATTAATCACTTATACAAATGTACCAAAACGTTGTCTGAAATTAACCCAGCGCACTCAAACGGACGATTTTGTTAAACGAATGACATTTTGTTTCACTTTGTACCTCAAAGTGCACGTAAATATGTACTTGCACGTGGGTGTACGGTGATACATGGATTCCCCATATGTACCGTCAAGTACGGCCCAACAATAGAGGATTGAAAGTGCAGAAAGGAGACTGCAACGAAGAATAGACTTGCCGATATGGACTTCCATAAAGCCCTGGATATCTTTATGAAAATTATCGCTCGGACTAGTCGAACCCGATCGTCGGTTTCGATCGATCGTAACAATTTTTTCCTCGATCTAATTATTCATTTTAGGGGCTCTGGTTTTACGAGGCTCTGAGACGTTTTCTTTCTGCCGTGAGACACGAGACGAAACGTCAGGGAAAATAACAGGGCATGACACGTGTATCGATATTGCATGTCTCGGGAAATTTATGGTACATAACGCGTTCCGTTGGTAGGTCGTACATGTCTGCACATATTTCCGGAATACCAGAAGCCGTATCGTTTTCCACTATATTACCGGGTAATGTAAATATACCGCCTGATATTATTTGTATTCCGCGTAAACTCGCCCCGAGATACCCTCGTATGAATTCTTAAGGTGTGACAAAAGTGTCGCATGTATATACCAGAAAGTTGAAATATTATAGTATATAATAATAATATTTAATTTTATAATAATATTTAAAATATTTAATAAGTAATTACGAAAATCTCTGAAGGGACTTAAAACTCAGGAAAATTTCTTTCTTCGATTCTTGTCCAGAATAAATCCATTTCAGAGTTCCAAGACCTCCGTTGGAACCTGTTAATGTTTCTAATAATGTTTCAGTTAGTCACGTGTCAATGTTTCAGATAATACGGTGCACCCATTTTGGAGAAAAGTGTCGGACATATTTTCATATACATAGAACGACCCTTTCATACAACCTTAACGGAAATATTGACGGATCCGCAACGACTCCTCTTCCCGTTTCCTTTCTACGTTACCTCGACGGGGAATTAGCCGTAAGTCAGCGTAATTACGCTTTACACGGCCCCTCGTTCGACGATTTAGCAAACTCCCATTCGCGTAGGAGGACTCTCTTTCCTTTTAACGCCGTAGGTGTACTTCCGTTATGGTTTGTCGATTCTTTTCATTTTTACGGTATAATTGCATTGCCTGTTTTCTCCTTTCACGTTGAGGTCGCAGTTTTATTTTCACGGAGCCGAGATGGGCTCGGTATAATTTTCTTGTCTAATTTTCACATTCGGAGCGAGTGGGATGACTGTTCTCGATTTTCGGTAATACAAGTTTGACATCTCGGTATCTACCTCCACTGTCAATTTTTGACAGTAAGCCTCGGAGGTCAACCTAATTTTATCAGCAATTTTTCGTTCCCCTTGATCGTACATTTTTGGCTTTCCAGGACAAGTTCTACATCTATACAAGCTTGACATCTCTATATCTACCTCCACTGTCAATTTTTGACAGTAAGCCTCGGGGGTCAACCTAATTTTATCAGCAATTTTTCGTTCCCCTTGATCGTACATTTTTGGATTTCCAGGACAAGTTCTACATCTATACAAGTTTGACATCTCGATATCTACCTCCACTGTCAATTTTTGATAGTAAGCCTCGGGGGTCAACCTAATTTTATCAGCAATTTTTCATTCCCCTTGATCGTACATTTTTGGCTTTCCAGGACAAATTCTACCTTCGTTGGCAATCTTTGACATCGATGGCACACCTCGGGGCTCGTTCTAATCCCCTGTCAATTTCTGCCACTCAGGGTGAGCTGCAGGGCTCGGTCGGTTCGCGAACCGTGACCGGGTCCGGGAGGACGACCAGGAGATGGGCCAGTCTGAGACAGCACGTGACCCACGGGGCGTCGATCGACGGATCGAAACCTGCGGTCGAGCTGCTCCTGGATCCCCCGAACTCGCTGCCTGGAACCCCGGTTTCTCAGCACTCGCCCAACACGCCCCGCACCCCCCACACCCCGATCAAAAAGTCCAACTGGGAGGTTATCGAACATTTCACCGGCGCCCCCCGACCCTCCATCGTCACGGTGAGAACGGCACCGGGTATTCGCTTTCCTACTTTATTCTCGCTCTATTCCACTAGCACGTATCTTCGCATAGAAATTAAACAATTCCAGGACCGAGGCACGAGTCCCTCCCCCGATTATGCCCAAGAAAATCTTCCACGCTCGATTTAACGATTTTAGGACAATTTGACCAACGAGCGACCTCCTCTCTAAGATAATTAATTTCTCTCGTTAGGATCGAGGATCGATATTTCGGGGGGTGGCGTTTTATCGAGCGTTCGTCTTGCAGATGAGCCGAGACTCGGAAGTGGGCATCGCCATCTCACCTGGAAGAGAGACCTCGACGAAGACGACGAATTGCGTCGCCGTCACGACGAACGAGAGCAAGTGCGCTTTCAGCAGGTTCGTCAACGCCCTCTGCGCCTCGCATCGCTTCAAGAACTTGCAGGTAAATTGCAATTAACATTCAAGTCCATTAACGCTGATAATTTCGCCTTGCTCACCCCTGGTCTGGTGGAAAATCTTCGATAACGCGGCATTTAAATTTCTTCTCTTTGGACGCGGAGCTTCGACGTAAAAATTCCCAATGAGGCTACATTGAATTTTTTATATAATTTTTTTTCCTAACTTTATTATATTCATTTTTTTTTCCTAGCCTTTTCGTCGTTGAATTTTTTATATAATTTTTTTTCCTAACTTTATTATATTCATTTTTTTTCCTAGCCTTTTCGTCGTTGAATTTTTTATATAATTTTTTTTCCTAACTTTATTATATTCATTTTTTTTCCTAGCCTTTTCGTCATCACTAGAAATCTTCCGTAAGGTTGACTTTACGTATCGCGACTTCTCCAATCGAAGAATCGGCCGTCCTGGTGCCCAGCAAAAGCTCGCCCGGAGCCATAAAAGCTCCACGTCGCGGTGTGTCCAAGTAATTACGACTTTACGAGAAAACGGCCGCCGGAGCATTTTAATTGGCCAGTCGGATTTACGAGCGAGTACGTTCTGTACCCACGCCGTGACAAGGGGAATGCTTTCCGCGAAAGCTCGATGAAGTTTGAAAGCTCGCTCGCGAAAAAAAAAGGGTCGCACTTCTCGCGCAATATCGAGTGACACATCCCGAGGGGGGTGAATTTCTATAAAAGATGCCAGTCGGGTGAGATTTCTCACAAGTACATATTTGCAAGGTTGCGAAATTTGTAGAAAAAGGTATTCGCAAGATTGATAATTTTTTACTTAACGTGTCATTTGAAATAATTTGTTACGGAATTAATATTTAACCTGTCTCGCAATAAATTTAACTAAACCAAACGCTTTGCCAGCTTTCGCAAATCCCACCCCGAGCTTTTCCAGCTTATCGAAACACCGACCATGCTCTACTTTCTTCAAAGCTTTGCACAAGAAGCACGCGACAAGTCGCCCACAGCTGTGGGCTTTTTACATATAAATAATCTACGCGAAACCGTTAACAAAAAAATTCACCGAACCATCCATCTCGATAAAACCATCCCTTGAAAACGCAACAGTTGAAAATAAAAAAGGATTCGCTAATCCTACCCATCGCACACGCTCGGTCGCCAATTTCCTCGGTTTCTCCGCAAACGTATTCCGCACAAATTTTCGTATCAAGAATTGAACATTCAATCAATACTTTTCGCAGGTAAACGCATGATAGAAAATATTAATAAATTTTTCTCAAGTGTTGAAATCGGAACACTCAACTCGGCGATTTTTTCTGCGCGTATGTTTATTGACGGAGATTCGCGAGGGCGATTTAAATATTTAACAAGTCGTCGCTCCCTCGTTTCTTTGAAAAAAGAAACTGGCGCCGTGGAATTTCCACCTCTCGAGCTTCCGGAGCTTTTCGCATCGAGACGTTGGCTCTGCTCCACTTTCACCCTCCACCCTCACCTGGCCACCCCCGACGAGTCCTGCTCGTTTTTGTCGCAGTCGCTGTCGCCTGCCCCTCGGGGCGAAATTGCGAGCTTTTTTCGCTCTCGATTGCCTCGCGAGCAGTCGGAGCTTGACGGGGCTTCCGAGACACGAGTTGGGTGAAAAGATTCACGAGCTTTCGCCCCGAAAGAGCGCGCCAGAGTCGGTAAGAACGGAGGCTGCGATCTATGCTTACCGACGCGCGTTACACCGGCAATAAGTGCAAAATTTCTCGGGACCTAAGAAATATTTTATTAACGCAATGAATAATTATTTGACTCGACACGATATGTCGATAAGGGCGGATAACACCAATCGCGAATTTATTCCCGAATCACTCATCGTGGCTGGCTTTTAATTATTCCACGATAATTCACCGCGCCGGCAATGAGAGCAAAATTTCTCGGGACCTAAGAAATATTCCTTCGAAGGGAAACTATAAATATTTTATTAACGCAATGAATAATTATTTGACTCGACACGATATGTCGATAAGGGCGGATAACACCAATCGCGAATTTATTCCCGAATCACTCATCGTGGCTGGCTTTTAATTATTCCACGATAATTCACCGCGCCCCCGGTAATTGCCGGCGATGATTAATTGATCGATGGGCTTCGATGGGGTAATTTTCCAGGGGTGATTAACAAATTGATACCGCACTCGCTCGTTTGCCACGCGAATCAGATGTCGGATTCGAGATCGGCGGTTCACGTCCTGTTTCGTTCTGGGTACATTGAAAAAAAAAAATGTCATCAAAGCAGAGAAAAATTCCATCGAATAGTACCAATGAAACATTTAATTTGATGAATAATTATTTCACTCGAGTCGCCCCTCGTGGAAAGGTTTAAGGCTAATCTCTCGATGACGGATTCTTGAATCCCGATTTTCTTTCTACTAGAACAATATCCCTTAACTTTTGGGAAATAGAAAGAAAAGTCGATTGGTCGGAAATGGTTCCGCCCTAACGAAGGGGCTTCGGGGGGGCGAAAATGTGGGAAGTGCTCTCTTCAGCGGATCGCGGGAATCAAATTTGGGAAGAATTGGGAAAGGAGGACTGGTCTTCCTGTCCGAGGAGCCTCTCGCGATCATGATCGAGTGGAAAAGAGATCGGAAGCGATTTGTTCTCCGGTGAACGTTCCTAATCGGCGCCATCGGTGACTCTCCTGGACAGTCTCGTACGCTAGATGACAAATGGTACCAGGAAATCTAACGTCCCCAGGGCTTCGGAATTGATGGCTCGATGGTCCAGGAGGAGAAAGGATCGTTTTTGGGGGAGAGAGTCCGACACGCGGCAGAAAATAAAGGGAAAAACCTACAAACACTCCTGGGACGGAAAGGGATGGAAGAGAGATCATCAACCTCGGCAATCTCCATTAAATTCAGCCTTCTTGATAATCCTGCCGGTAATCACGGATCAAAATGTAAAACTCCGTAGAATCCAATAATTTAAACAATATAACGACGAATACCATAGATCTGATCCTCATTTTATCAGCAAAACGGAGTCAAAGAGGCCATGTCTGCATCAAGGCTGATAAGTGGAGCCTACTTTCTTGAGCACCCTTTTTCATTTTCCATTCTTTATATTCTGACTATAAGTTCCACCATTTAATAGCTTGTAAGTGCTGTACTGGCTGTTTTATAAGCATCTGGTAAGGAGGTAAAATTTTTGTTTCGCGGTAGAACTGAGAAAAGAAGGGTGACATTTTGGGGAGTAAATTGTCACATCCCTTATCGCCTTGATCCCCGACCTAACCATGATATATAGGGCGATTTTTATCCGTGTTTTTCGCACGTTCGCGGTTTACGTGGATATTTTCGAACGGCATTTCCCCTCGGTTTCACCCCTTCCGCCTTCCTCACCCACCCTTTTAGATGTAATAAAGTTCGCTCGCGTGACTCGACTAGACCTCATGTACAAGACATTGTGCACAAGTCGGACGACAAGGGGAGGATCGAACAGATCTGCTCCTCAGGGTGGAAACTTCAAGAGGAATCGTCGAAACAGCTGATCCTGACGTTTCCTCTCCCCTTGCCGAACTTTTCTCCCCGGAGCATCGGTCGCATCGTTTAACCCTCCGCCGTTTAAATAAAAAACACCCCATAAAATAAAGGGGTTTTTTAAACCCCTTCATTTACCCGCGACATTTCTAGGCGCGTTTCTAATATTCCATATTCATTTTTCCGAAGAAAACTCCACGTTTAGCCATTTGTCGGCGTATCGTTGCACTTCCTACCAATAGAAATAATTGTCTCGTCATTTCTTAAGAAATGTACGTCCTTGTAATTTTTGACAAAATCTATTTTGAAAATAAGTAGACATGGAAATCCATGGGATGGGATGTCCGAGACATCGACGTATTGCATTGGTCGATTCCCCCCCGTAATTTCGCCTTCCTGACCTACCCCATCATATCGACGGCCAACCCAATTCATTTCTCATTACGCCTAAGCTGGGAATCGCCTTCGGACCGAAATTGAAGTAATTGGAAAATAATTGCAAGGGAGTCGGCCTCTACGTGACCAGCGAGAGAAAATTCAGAAAAATATGTAAACGTTCGTTTCGAGCTCCAAGTTCCGTTAACGCTATTTTCGGAGTAATTTTCAAATGTAAGTCACAATGATAAGAGAGTGTCGCTTAAGTATGAACAAATGATAAATATAAGTTGAAGGTAATTTTTTAAAAAATGACTATATTTTTTGCTATTAAGTGCGACTTGCACGTGCTTCAATCCAGGCGTCCGAATGCCAAGTGTAACCTCATTAGAAGCGGTTAACGACAGATCGCAGTAATTGGCAGCAGTGGGACGGCCGTTTCTAGGGAAGTTTCGGCTAGGGATTTCCCAGTGGTCCAGTAATCAATTTCACCCCCTGCGACCACGATACGACGCCCTGCTCCCATGTGGAACCGTGTCGAGGGTGTGTACACTCACCCGGGGTCGCACGTGGACAACGCCTCCGTCCTAGGGGAACTTTATCGAGTTGTGCCCACGAAAATCCCCAGATTTGTCCCCATAAGTCGATTTTACACCTTGAAACGCCTAAGTAGGGGGAGGTCGTTTCGTAATGACGATTTTCGTGTGACTTTCAGACGTTTCGTTACGATCAGACAAAATACAGTATCGAGTTGTGCCCACGAAAATCCCCAGATTTGTCCCCATAAGTCGATTTTACACCTTGAAACGCCTAAGTAGGGGGAGGTCGTTTCGTAATGACGATTTTCGTGTGACTTTCAGACGTTTCGTTACGATCAGACAAAATACAGTAAACCCCCTTATAAAACGGCTTTCTGAGAGTACGGTGCAAGTGGGAAAAAAAACTAGGAAAATGTAAGAATTACGCGAGCACCGTGACAACCCGCGAGGAAATGGGGGAAAACGAAGGAGGGGGTGGAAAAGCGGGAAAGACGAGTTTTCCGAACTTCGAACTCATCCGAAGCTGAATTTCAGGTTCGGGGGAGAAACTTGGCCAAGTCTTCTCTTATTCCGAAACGCTCTGATAAGTCCATTATGGGATCGAAGAAATGGGAAATTACTAGGGGGGTGGAGCACGTCGCGGAGTGTAAAGTTAAAGGGGCCGGAGGGTGTAGACGTCAACTGCAAATAATGGGGAAAATAGGTGACATAATTGTACACTGAGACAAAAAATTCATTCAGCCAAAGATATGTTCCTTTGAATACTTCTTTCCGGCTTTTCTAACGGCGGAGAGAAACGAAAGATCGAGAAATCGCATTACGGGAAATTGCAGGAAAACGGGAAAACGCGAGGGAGGGGACGCAAAGGGAAGGAAAACGACACCGAGGGGAGTGGATAAAAAATATAGAGCGTGAGGGAGATAGAGAGGAGTTGATCAAAAGGATGGAGAATCGGTCGGCACTTCTCGTCCACCCCTTCACCCTTCTGCCACCCTTTGTGTACACACCGGAAGTGGTCTTACCAAAGGGGGTGGAAACGTTCGAGGGAAGAAGCACGATTACTCGAAATTGCCCTAGAAATGGCCGCCTTGCCAACTCACGATATAGAGAACTCGGAAGTACGACGTTAAGGAATTTTCAACTGCAGGGAATTAATTCCACCCTCGACATCGGGGTTGAATTACATTTTAGACGTATTAATATCAGCGGTAAATCCCGAGTTGAGGGAGAAAAAGCGACTCGTAAAAATTAGTGGTAGTCGTTGCTCTGGCCAGATAGGAGCCTTCCCCAGCAGATTCTTTCAGGCTGGGGATCTTCTGGGCGTTAAAAGTCCTAGGAACTTTTACGGCCCATTGCCCGCCGCTTATTGCCTATTAGTACTTATATGAAGTACCCGAGAACCCCGTGGAAGATTAAGTGAGAACGACTCGAGGAAGAAATTGGATCGCGGGTTTCGGATTTAAGAAAATCATCTCTCTCGATGTCTTGACGCCCATTTGTATTTCAGATAACGCGTGGAAATCGAATTCTAATGTCGATTCCAGTGGCGTTTTCCTTTTTTATAATAAAATGCAGTTCAAATTGATTCAACTGATTCTGTCCGTGATATCGAAGGGGATGATGAGCCTTCAGGTCGGATCCTTATCACTGTCGTGTTGCATATTAATGTTTGAGTAAATGAGCGTTGTCGGATCGGGTCGGATCAGCTTTGCAAGTTCCATGAGACTTCTCTAGGCTCTTCCAGGAGGCTGGGAGGTCTCAGAGGGTGCAACACCCCTCCAGGAACTCCTTCGGGAAGACGAAACCTCTTCGAGCTGTTCCGGATGTGTTTGCGGAACTCGAATGTCACCGGCACACTTCCGTTGGGCTTCCCTTGTGTCACCGGAAACACATCGCACCCTCTAACTCTCGCTTATATGTGAGGACACCCCTTCATAAATTAGGGGAGGCAGGGGATGATGCGTCGCGACGCCGATATGGATTAAGAGTGCCAAAAGTCGGCGACTTATCGTGAAATGGAAATATCATGAAATATAATGAAAAAACTCGATTTTGGGAAATTTCAGGAAAATGTTGTTCCCCGTTTGTATATCTTTCGAAGGACGACATTTCCTCCGGCCGAATTCTTACATCTTCCTAAACAATTTCACGAAATTTTGTAATATATTTAAATAACGACATGAAATGTATGTTTCGATGCTTAACGAAGCCCTTTTCGTATTTTAGACCCGAGCCTTTTTTTATTATTTTTACATTTATTGATTTATTACCTAAGCGAACCTTCGAGTCCGCTCAGCTGATTTTACCTCATAGGGAGGAACTCTTTTTATTCCCCACGTTTACGTTCTCTATTAAGATTCCTCGGCATTAAAATTTTTAGATTCAAATCTCTCGGTGTTCCACTATTTCTCTGTATGAAATGAAAGAAGAAAAAAATTAATTGCAACCCTCCGCTCGAACTGTAATTTACGGAATTCAGGGAATTTAACGCTCGTCGAGTCGCACGGGGACATTTTGTCGGGCGAGCTGAAAAGTGTCCTTTCATTTTGCCGACTCACCTGTCGGCGTTTGAAACTACCAAAGAGGAATTATGGCGGAAACTCACGGGAAATTGAAATGTTAATTTCGCCGCGAGTCGATTAATTCCGAGAGGTCAGCTGATCGACAAACAGCCGGTTCTGCACTGAGAAGAAACAATTCATTGAACCAAAGAAATATCTTAAGAATAATTCTTAATTCAGAGAATAATTATTTGACTGAAATAAACTCAAATTAATTGGCATAAGTCCGAAGAAATGTCGCATCCAATTTATTCGAGTCAATTTTTTAAATTAAAAAAATATTCCTTTAGTACTATTCAAGGAAATATTTCTTCGGTTCGATGAATTTTTTTTTCTCAGGGTGGAGAGGCCTTTAATTTTCCTTTTCTTCCCCCTTTTCCGTTTTTCCGTTTTTCTCGAACATGTCGAGGGGTTCCTGCTTCCTACAAGTCTCCTCGACTTTCTTTAATTAACACTCCGTACGAGACGGCTCGAACTGAATTTTTCTCCATTTTTCTCGATAAATCGCCCACGACAAAAACTCGGGAACGAATTCAAATTCCGAATGCAATGCAGATTAAACGATACACCTGCGGCTGCACCTGTACGCGATATCGCGATTTCTAGTGGCGCGCATTCAGGATGGCAGACACAAAAAATGAAGAGTCCATTTTGAAAATGGAGCCCACAAAATGCGATTGCCTGGTGAGAATATTTCAATGGCTTTCGCAGCTGCAGCTGCAGCTGCGTATTTCGCGCGATGCGACCTCAAGAGCCCTTTCGAGAAATCGAGATCTACCCAGAGAAAAAAATCTCCTTTAACCAAAGAAATATGTTAATTCAAAGAATCCCAAAATATCCACCCGGAGCATTTTCCTTCTTTAAATAAAAAATAAATTGCCAGCATTTTTCGGGACACTCTCATCGACTTTCCAGATAACAGCATCCGTGATCTCGGTTCCAGGTGGAGATGCTGTATCAGCGGTATTTCCTGCGGATGAACCAGAGCAACATGACGCACGTCCTGGGACTCCTAGCAGGCCTGGCCTTCGCCCTGGGCCTTCTTTTGATCCTGAGACTGATATTCACGGGTGGACAACCCCTCCTGGACCTCCTGCAGCGTCCCGAGAATCTCTTTCTCGCCCTCACCCTTGTCACGTGCATCGCCATCTACGCCGGTAAGAGGGAGAAAGAGTAGACAGGGGATGGATTTTCGGCCTCTGGGGTAGTTTCCCATCCATCGAGCGATAACCCCAGAACCACCGCTGGACCACCCTGAAATCACCCTAACACCGCCCAAACCACCCTGGACCTCATCCCCTTTCTGGACCATCTCGCCCTCGTCACTCCTATCCTGAATGCATCTCTCGACTCCTCCCAGGAAAGTTTTCCACATTTTCTTCCGTTTTCCCAGGAAAATTCCATCCACGGAATTTCGACGTCTCCGAGATTATGCATAATTAAAGAGAGGGAGAACGCCAAGTCTCATCTTCCTGGTGCACTCATATTCAGGGTGGAGATTTTCAGGGGTTGGAATTATTTTTTATGGGCCTGGAATCTCTGTCTGGAAATCTAACCTCAAAAATGGAGGGGGTGGAAATTCTAGGGCTAGATTTTCCCTTACGAATACCCTCTTTTCCCCTTTTGTCTACACTGCCGGTTTGTTGGGGGTTGTGGAATTATGCGTGACACGCGACATGCTATCATGCGTGGGGGCTCGAGGGGATGCAAATCGGGTGTAGAATAAAAATAGCCTCAATAGGGTGCGAGGGAATTTCGAGTAAACTCGAAGAAGCCACCCCTAGATCGATTGATCGAAGCCTGACTGTTAAAAAATTGTCGGGATCGTCGTAAAGATTTTCGGCCCATTTACTTGCGGAGGAGATGCACTTTTTTAGAATCAGCAACGCTTCCGGGCCGGTTAACGCCGGAAATACATCGCCCTGTTTAGCATTCGTTTAACGTCGACAGAAACGCACGCGAGTCGTGCATACGAAAGAAACCCGTCAGTGAACCGAGTTTCATCCAATTTCCTCGTCGACTCCGGAGTCTTCCCGGAGCAGTCCAACTTTTTGTCATGCAAAGGTATTCCTGGGCTCAAAAAGCGACAGGCTCGCTTTGTCATGTAAACAAGTGAAGTTAAGAACTTTTACAGAAAGCTTTGGCATCACGGTCTTTATGGAAACCACGTAGACTGGTACCAATTAGTCCTACTGGGATGTATATAAACCTGGAATTGCCACTTTAGCACAATTCAATAAAATTTGTTGCAAAATTTATTGCCAATTCATTGCTATTTTATTGCACAAGAAAAAAATTTGTTGCTCCTATACTTTTCCGAAAAATGGTGGCGATGTCAGCTTTATATAAAGCTAGCACTGCCACAATAAAACACAATTATTAAGTAAATGTTCATCGATGAATTATATACCAGAATTTATTGCTAATTAATTGCTCGCGGAAAAACCAAATTTCTATTTTTTACTCACCCCTAAAGGGGTGAATCGCCACCCCTAGTGATGATCGCAGGACGGAAACATGAAAAACATGGAAGAATCGAACTATTTGTTCACGTGGGAATTAATCGCTAATTAATGTAGCTTTGAAAATTCTATTTTTACAAAGATATTGGTTCTTCTCGGAGCAATTAATTTCCACGTGAAGAAATAGTTCGATTCTCCCATGTCTTTCATCTTTCTGTCCTGCGATCAGCACTAGGGTTGGCGATTCACCCCTTTAGGGGTGAGCAAAAAAATTGAAATTTGGTTTTTCTGCGAGCAATTAATTAGCAATAAATTCTTGCATATAATTCCTCGATGAACATTTACTTAATAATTGTTTTTTATTGTGGCAGTGCTAGCTTTATATAAAGCTGACATCGCCACCATTTTTCGGAAAAGTATAGGAGCAACAAATTTTTTTCTTCTGCAATAAAATAGCAATGAATTAGCAATAAATTTTGCAACAAATTTTATTGAATTGTGCTAAAATGGGAATTCCAGCTTTATATACATCCTACTGGGGTGGTTTTCTTCCGGTCCTTGCTCCAAGAGACCCGTTGCCATACACCAAAAAGTTCCTTGAAATTAACCCCATGCAGTCGATCGGACGATTTTGTTAATTATTCTAATTTTTAAATTATTTAAATCCCCCAGGTCTGGTGGCCGCCATTTCCAGGCCGAGAATGAACGAGGTATGGCTGGCAGGAGTCAGTGGTGCCGTTCTGGTCACCCTGTTGGCTCTTCAGGTGAGCCTCAGCATCCACCTGGCCTACGTGCAGGAACTCGAGGAAGCCGAAGAGGAGGAGAAGGGCACCCCATGGACCAGGGGGTTCCCTACAGGGGGCCCCCTGGCCGCCACGTGGGCGGTCTGCTTCTTCATCTACATGGCTTACGCACTTCTTCCCATAAGACTGAGACACGCCTGCGTCGCCGGGGTCGTCTTCTCCGTCGCGCATCTCATTGGTGCTCTTCTCCTGTACCCTCAGGATTACCCTGGTCTGCTCGCGCACGTAAGTAGAGCCTCGGTTTCACCGCGGAAATGCCTGCTAAGCCGACTTGTGGATTTAGGCACTATGGATCTTCCCCTTCCGAGGAACTTGCGAAGTCTGGCCGAACAATGGAGTTCTGATAGCGTTATGGGGTGGCATCCCCCGTGGGAAGTTCCCCTTAACGTCGTATCATGTTTTGTATGAAAGCCTCGGATGTGCCAACGGAAGTAACAATAAATGCAACCCTTAATTTCGGTTATCAAGTAATTCAATGGGGGATCTCAATTTTGAGAAATTGGATCGGGTGATCTCATTTCTGGCATTTAAATTTGGGGTTTCGATAATCACCCTTTACTTGAATTTTCTCACCTTTGCTTAGCTCGTATGCTTCGGTCTCCCTGCAATCTCATACCTCCAACAGCTCTACGGATTTAGATAATGTCGATCCTTCTTCCTGGCTGTAGGAAACGACCTTACCGACTTTGCATGGAAATGGGTGCCAGATAACTCTAGAATTTTCGTCTCTGAGAAGCTGACATGGGCGGATTTCCCGGGACAAATTCCCGGACATTTTCCTTCAAATCAGACACTGATATTCCTCAGTCCCCGTAAAAAAGGAAACACCCTGCTTTCCCAACAATTAAGAATAACTCGTTACTGAAATGATATCGCCGTATCATATGTAGACACGTGATAAATAAAATGCACCTCGATAATTGATAATCCCGATTCTATTTTTACTGCTCATCCACATCACTCATTAGTGGAATTAATTTTCCATTCCCAGGAAAACTGAGTCTAGGGGTGTATTCCGATTTTCATCTTAATCGGCATCACGTGGGGATCGGATTCTGATGATCGCAGGATCACTTTCCCCTCGGAATTAAAAGAAAGAGAAATTGAGAAAGGAAGCTTCGAATGCCTTCTCAGGCCTCGGGTCATTAGTCAGTTCGGATCCCCTCGGCTCTTTCTTAAAGATTTTGCCAATGGCTTCCTTAGGGTGATTTCTCTCCCGAAGAAAGGGGACTTATTCAACGTGTCCGGATTTAATGGCACTCGAGGTCGCTGACCGCTCCAGGGGGGATTTTTTAACGTGGAAATCGCTCCCCCGTCCTTATGCAGCTGATCAATCTTGGGAACAATCGCGCCATTACGCGGGAATCGCCTCTCGATGAGCCCTAGGGAATTTTCCCTCGGGAGTCGAGAAAAGGAGAAACCGATGGGAGGAAGTTTACCTCCCAAGAATATCCACCCCCACGTCTATTACCCCTTCGAACTCCCGAACTTTTTATTTCTTTACGAGAGGACGATTCCGAGGAACATTCGAAGCTGAATCCTTCCTATTGGCTAGCCAGGACATCAAAGTATATCGGTTTCATTCCGTATTCAGTGAGGGAAAGTCCTTCGAGGAATATTCCCCAGGACTCCTTCGGAAATCTTACGTGGAACCTTCATTTTCACTATTTTCGCTTTTGGTTTCTTTCATATCTTTTATGAAAAATACTGGTTATTTAACCCACCGACGGGAGGTTTCGTCTGTTTCGTGCCGTACTCCCCCAGGGTATCCCTCCCGAAGGAGACCTAGGGTTTCTTCACTAACTCGAGAGACCAATTTAAACCGAACAAACTTCCCCATCAAGCTGAAAAAGTGCTCCATTTTTGGTAAAATCATCATGGGCAGTTAATCCAAATCGAACTTGCTGCACTTTTTGGTAGAAGATGTTAAAATATATTAAAGGATGATTTTCACTTTGAGTCCTTCGCTCATCGGCACGGAAACTGCGCGCGTCCACCCTCGCCATTTCCGGAGTCTTCCTTGAACCTCTTCACTAATAACAATGCCGTCAATCATTGGAAAATATTTCGCGCCGCGTTGATTTAAATTTTAAATCCCAAGAATGACGATTTACGCAGCGAATGCTGGAGATATGAAATTCCGCTGGAACTTGTTCTTCACATATTCCCGCTTTCGTGAAAATACAAGTGCTTGTTTGCATAAAATGCAGCCCCCGAAAATGCACGCACGTATGTAAAGCCTTTTAAAAAGACGCGTCTCTTCGGTTTATATCTCTGACGTAGCATAACGAGTGCATGAAAAATCTGCACGGGTGGAATACCCCGAAATTGAAATCCCTAAATTCTTTTCAGGACGAATGCCGAGGCGAAATATCAAAAGTCCTTTTATAAAAAAGAACTCCATATTACGCTTTTAAAAAAAATATCCGAACTTTATTCTAAAAGAGCTAGGAAAAGGAATTACTACCGCTGAGCACTTATGACAACCTTAAGAAAAACAATTGAGCCGTACTTGGAAAGCACTTTGGCAATTTTCAGAATTTCACAAATTAGTAAATTTTCGTAGATAAAATCTAATGCACTTTGGAGAAATTACGTTTCCATTTTTATCACCTAATCTTTTGCTTCGAATCGCTTCTGGTTTTTATTCGCCATCCATTTTCGGACATTTTTTATTAAATATTTTATCCGGGGTGGTTAACCCCGTTATCTCGATAATTTCGCGAACCGGATTAAATCGAGATCTTTTCTTTCAGGGCTGCGTGCCCAAGAAAGTTTCCGCACTACGGGTTAACGTAAGCGTACACGTAATAACGCACTTAGCGATAACAATTTACCCTTCATCCCCCGGCTCGTTTCGCGAGGGTGAAATATCACAACCCCCAATTACTTCGCTGACAAAGTACCGTGTGCTCCTCGAAGACCCTTCGCGGATCGTTTCGCCTCTATAATCAACATTATTCATGGGCAATTTCAACTACCCATACACCGCATCATGGGACTCCCGAACTATGCCCTCGTTTTTCCCAGATATTGCAACATTAAAATATAAGAAAAACAACCGGCCCCACCCCGACATAAATCAAAACCCTCCATGATAATATGTGAATTCAATTCTGTTTATGCAATATTCATTGGAATGTCATTTGTCAACGTTCATTAAACGTTGCACAATGCAACTCGTTACGTACTGAAGAGGTTATATAAATTGCCGATTCTCGAAAATTTATTGCATGGCCTTCATATTCGGTGTATAAAACGTGATATGAATTCATGACAGAAAATTAGATAAAGATGTATCATTTCATTTGGAGGTTTTTTCTTTAGTCCGCTTTTTGGGAAGTGGCGGCGATTCGAGGTGATAATCACTGGCGATATTTAATCTCGCGTTTATGGAGAAATTCAGATAATTTATTAAAGCGATTCGCTAAGAAGATGCACTTCCGCAGCTTCGCTCTCCTTAGATTGAACGGAAATTGAAGTCGATCTATCGAGGCGGCTGCAGAATTACGATGATACCCCAGATGAAAGGAAATTAATCGAAATCGCTGGAAAAGTCATCATCGAGGCTTCTATGTCCACGAGGAGAATACATCCATATCCGAGTCTCGATTTTCCCCGTAAGAATTCGATATTAAGTATTATTAACTATATCTAACAAAAAAATGCCGCCCCGAGGAGACCTTTAATTAGCATATCGATTACTTCGAGTAAAGGGAAATTTTGTTACACGCTGCCTCGATCTTCCTTTCTAAAGAAAAAAGGAAGGAAATTAGGAGAAATGCGGAAATGAAACAATATACGGAATTGCCGTTAAAATCGAAGGAACCTTAATGTATGGATTTATGTCATTGTAAAGTAATCCCCGAATTGTTATTAAAATTTATCCTCGGATAGAACCGCGATTCTTGCATCGATATCTCCGAGTGCAGTCTTTGACGTTCGGCCTCGATTTTGCATTCTAAAAACAGGGGATAAAAAGTAGTTAATTGAAATGTAGAAATAAAACAGTGCGTGTAACTACTATTAAAATCGAACGGAACTTCAGGTCGCAATGCTCTTTTATTTCATTAGGAAACAGGCGCAGTGTTTCGTCGCGTTAATTGGCAATTACCGCTGCACAACCGTATGCCTCCGGTACACGGAATTAGGAACAAAGCGTGGAAATGCAATTTTCTTTCGTCGAGCAATCGATATTACGCGAATGGGTTTTGAGGCTTTCGGGGAAAAAAAAAATTCACCGAACTGCATCCAACGAAATACAAAAGATCCCCGATCACCCGTGAAAATCGTTCGGAAGATTTTAATAATCATTTGGCTGCATTTACTGTTTCATACAAATGATCTATTAATTAATTTACGATTGCGAGGTGCTGAGAAAGTTTTAAAATTGGCTAATCAGAAAATTTGAGTGACATGCTTTGGCGCAATCGATTGATAAGCCATGCAACTTGCGGTGCACTTAGGGTCGAATTAACGCTATTTGCAGGAGACATTTTTTTTGCCAAGACGCCGGCAATAACGAAGGGTAACTCGGGAAATTATTAAAGCTTCTAGCAGGGCAATGAAGGGGTTGAAAAAAATAAAAGTGGGCACGCAATAATTGCCGGTGAGGGCGGAAGGTAATTTCTTAAAAGCTCTGAAACTGAAAGTCGCAGGATGTAAGAGAAAGCAGGAAGGAGAAATTCCAGCCGGAAGGAGAGGAATTTTTCTCCAGAAAACGAGATTCCAAGCCACGGTCTTATTCCCTCTTTTTTCTTTTTTTTATTTTCAGGGGGTTCAACGAGGAAATTATCAGGCTGGAATTAATTAAAAGCACCTTGTTTGCTAGGTTGGTTTCGCTCCTCGCTCCTTCGGAGGACGTTTCTTCTGTTCCTTAACGAGGACCTGCACAAATAATTACTAGGCAGCCTTATGCAAAGGATCGATAATGCCGGGACTTGCAGAAGCTCGTTAAGAGTGCATCTCTAGGGTGAAAGGAAGTGCACTCTGAATGAAGCTTCATATCGGAAATCAAGTGAAAAGGAAAGCGTGCAAGTACGTCTGATTAAAAATGGCCCGGTTACAGTCACCACTGATTATGTTTGACCTGGTTCGAAAATCCACAAAAGGGCGCGAACAATTGTCTTTTTGGAACCGAACGAAGGAACGCGAAAATCGAAGGTCGACCCTTTGCATTCGAGCTGGATCCTTTATGAATTTTCTCTTGAAATCCAAGGAGACCT